ATCAGATATTAAAAAAATGCAATATTGCATATTTATCTTAGATGGGATCATATTTTATAAATTATTTTTATATTTAGACAAGTGATATACAGTTTTTCGACTATTTTTGCATATTTGATTCTTTTTTGCAATGCAAGACTAAATAAACTTTATAATTATTGTGTATTCATTGCAATTTTCTTTTTATCTGCATTTTATTTTTACATGCAACAAGAATGCAATAAAACGCACAAGAATTTATCAGAATTCGCTTTGATTGATAAAAAAATAAAAATAAATGGTCAAAATTATGCTGTGCTAAGCAAAAGTAAAATCCTAGAAAAAGAACACTGAATGGGTAAAAGCAAAGGAATACAAATCTTAAGCTGCGCAAAGTCTTTCTGCTGAGAGCTTTAAAACATCGCGGACACTAAATATACATTCGATCTCAGAAATCCCCAGAGTTGACGAACGACATGTAAGGCACTATAAAGGGGTCACGGTCTTGTCTTCTTAGCGAGTGAAAACTGTGGCTATCATATTGGAGATTCACATTAGAGCAGCAATGAATTGAGAATAAATCAAAAAAAAATTTTATACAGAATATTCAGAATTTAAATATTTTTCGTATGTTTGTTATGTTATAGATTTTATACGTAATTAGGTATTTGTATTGTTTTTATATCTTATATGCGTTATCATGATTATTTGTTTAAAGTACTATTGCCCCAACTGCTTATAACTACAACAATCACTATTCATGGATATGACATTTGAGTATAGTGGGCATTATTTTACCCCCTGCACGGCTTAAAAATTGCACTAAGCCGTCGACTGACAGACGCGCTTTTCCTCTTCCTGCAGAGGGCCAAGCTGCTTGTGCTGTTGCTGATGATTTTGATGCATTAGCTGCTTTTATGAGGCGGCATTGTTTTGCCTTTGACTACTTAAAAATGAAAAAACGGCAACTTGCGGTGAGCTGCAAGCTGCAGATACTGCAGAGCCCCTGAGTCCCATATATATATAAATGAAATGCAGTAAGCGGCCGACAACTTAAAACAAAACAAGAATATATATATATATATATAAAAGAAAAAGCGCAGGAAATTAAGATAAGTAAAAAAAGTATAAAGAAGAGGCGGAGAGTAATAATTATAAGCCATTGTTGGCAGGCAGCATAATAGAAGACCGTTGCCGAGCAGCTGGCCACGGGCAGGGGCATGCTGCAGCTCAGCGAACCCTCGAGCTGAAGTCAAGCAGCAGACGCCATAAAAAGCGAAGAATTTTTAAGTAATTTTATCAAGCGTCTGTGACATGCAAAGTGCATTTAAACTAGTTATAAAGTCGCATTATTTGCCATCAAATTCAATGCTCGATGCGAAAGTTTTTTTTTATCATGCTCTTTGTGTACTCCCCACTCGCTATATAGTTTCTCTCTCTTGCACTTTTCTTTACGCAAATTTCACAAATTTTTACATAAATCTGCATGAAAAATGACACGCTTCAGGGAAGCTTGCCAGAGCATTTACTCCCTTTACTGCTGCATTTGCTGTTATCAAAGCATTTCTCGACTCTGGGAAACTATTATTTTCTAGCATTCACATTTTTTGTGGGGAGCGCTGGCTGTCTAGCATATCCAAAAATTACAGTTATTGTTGTAGTTTTAGCCGAGATAGAGAGAGAGAGAGCGAGAGAGTCGGATAAATTTTCATTTGCTTGGCAAACGAAGCACAAAATATTTACACTTATGTGTTTTTTGTGGCTTGCCTTCTGTAGCTAAGCAAATAAGAAAATTGTATAAAATAGTAGCCAAACAAATTTGATCAAAAAATTATATATAATATCAAATGTCAACGAGAGAAAAGAGTTCTTTTAAGGGAGCGACAGAATAAACACACCAACAAATAAATGAAAGACCTTACACATAACGTTAACATTGGGAGAAAAAATAACGAGATGCTCACGACTATTGCAAAATTTAGATAATAACACAAACAACAATAAACTCTGGAAATTGTATAAAACTATTATAAATAAATACACGTAAATTCTACATGAATAAAAAAGATGAATATCCAAAGTTGCCTCACTTTGTGTCTGTAAGGTTTTTAATTAGCTAACTGACGCTAGCTTCAACATTTCTTTTCTCTCAATTAGAGAGATATTTCTATCCTTTCTTATTATTTTTTTTTTATACATTTTTGTTCCATATAAGCTCCCTTAACAGAATCCATTTCATATCTTTTTGCATTGCGCTCTCAACTGTTTAACAATTTTCCCATACGCTGTTCTTTTCCAGAATCCGTTCCTAAATATTTCTGCTGCCCAAAGGAAGCTGCTGATACTCGAAAAATGATTAAATTTTCCGACAAATAAATGTGTATAAATATATTCATATATATATTCATATATATATATATGCCACTCAATCGATATGAAGCAATTCAATTCATGCTCTAAGCAAAAATGTAGGTAAAGATACGAAATGTTACGCATACGCAGCGTGTGCACCAAGGCAGCCATATCGTTAGTTTATCATGCTTTGCTTTTATCAGCCAACATTAATATCTATGGATGTGTGTGTGTGCTTGTGTGTATGTGTGTGTATTTCTCGTATGATAAATGCGCATTGTGCTCGCGTGTATTTTTGTTTGTATTTCATTGTTGTTGTTGTTGTTGCTGCCGGTGGCAAAGTTGCCTTTTTCGTATGCTCTACATATTTTCAGCGTTTATTTCGTTGCGGTCGCAACATTTCTGTTTGCTGTGGGCGTGGCACATTGCAGCTGCATGCCAAACAATTCATGGCTGCCTGCCGCCTGCTGCTGACTGTGTGTCTGTGGCAAAAACTAAAATGAATTATGCTCATGCAACGCATTCATAATTCTGTGTTGCACGCTGGAAAAAAAGCATTTTCCAACACTGTTTTATGCTCAGCATACACAAATCTGAGACAATGTTCGTGTCTGTATCAAGTCTCAAGCAGAAATCCACTTTGAACTTTATCAGTAGACGATGCGCGGCATCTTTGAACCCCCTTCACCTACTAATTGCCCCCGCCCCTGTACACTTTTCTTAATTTAGTTGTGCTACTTAAGCAGTTTAATGCCACGTCGGCTTTCTGCGGCCTCTAAAGACAAATTAATGACCCTGGGTCGCACAATTGCGCTCGCTGCGTATCCTGTCTGGGTCCTGGCGCCTGAATTTATGGGGCAAAGGCTTCGGCCAGGCGCGGAAATTGCAAAGGAATTGCGAGCCGCGTCGCCAAGACGCAGCCACAGTTACACGTTCTTGTTCTTGTTCTTGTTGTAGTTGTTGTTGTTGCAACGCCAACTTTCATCTTGTCGCGTTCTGTGCGCCCTTATCGCGTTTTGATTTTTAATTAAAGCCCAAGCTAAATGTATTTTGCGAAATGGAATTTGGTTTATACGCACTTAAATTAGGCGCACAAACAAATGCTGAATCCAATTATCTTTTTGCCCTGCGCACAAATTACATGGCCAAAACACAACGGCCAGCAAATTGATAAACTCATTTCAAATGCGACTGCGAGCGCGAATGTGAATGTATATACAATAGCAATACGTAATTCCAAAGTTGTTTTCGAACTTGAACTTTTTGACAACTTTTGTTACATTTTCTCGTTACGCTCAAAGTTAACAAACAACAACAAACCGCTAAAATAAATAAATAAAATAAATGCAACAGCCACATTTTAAACATGTTATCAGACTAATAAACTTGTTGCTTGTAATTTAAATGTGATGCTGCATGGAAAAATGGTTAAGCTCTGTTTTATTTTTATATTCTTCTGTTCATTTCGCCAGGTCGATAAAAATTTGATAAATTAAGAGAAAAGATACAGATCAGAGAAAAATTCACGAGTTTTATTTACAAAAGTACGTCATAAGTTTTTACTATTCCAATATTTTTATTTATGAATTAAAACGTCAAGCAAAGCTAACTTAAATATTTATATTTAATTCATATTTTAAATAAATTTTGTATAATTTATTAAAATGTAAATTATTTGACATCTTTTAAAACATTACGAATTTAAATGCACAGACATTTCGGCAACTTAAAGGCAGCTATAAAATTGTGCTTCTAACACATTTATAATAACCAAATAAGCAAACACTACCTAACTCCAACATAAGAGAGCGTGCAACAGTGCGTATGATTTACAATGTTTGCCTGCTGTAAGCAGTGAGAGACAGTCAGACGGAAGGACAGTCAGAGAGCAAAGTGATGGCACAATCTGATGTAATCTACCCACAACAGAGCCACGTACTTGATTATTTGATTGTTGTTTAAGGAAAGTACTCAATGGCTTCGGGAAGAGTAGCCGGGCATTTATTTACTTATGCGACTACGCATTTAAGTGCCAAGCTGTTTGCCTCGCAGCAACGAAAATTCATTCGTATTTGCATAAATAAATTAAAAAGCAACTTGCGCATTGGCAACGCCCATTCACCATGAACTGGTGGGCGTTCGTTAGGTGAGGAAACAGCTCAATTTCCACAAAAACAATTAATTCTACTAGTGAGGAGCACGCTTTGGGGCGGCCGCTAATGATGTGCATAATAATTTGCTTACACTTGATGGCGCATTATAATTAAAAAGTTTTCGCTTCGACCTGCCAAGATACTCAAGTTGACTCTGAAACACTTTAGAGCCCCTTTATAGAGGTAAAATTAGGTAAAATTCTCATATGCGTATCATTATGTTCATCTTAACTACAAAATATAGGTAATATAGCTCTTGTAGCTTATCAATTTCTATCTCTCTCTCTCAGTCTCTCACTTCCTTTCCCAAAAGAAAAATATATTTCGCTTACAGCGCTCGCTACTAAATCCACAAGTCAAGTAAATTGTTTGCGCACAGGGCGGCTACTTAATATGCATTTAAATGGCTCGTGCTTTGTGCGCGCCACTTAATTAATCATAGTTCAAGTATCATATAAGCAAAGCGCCTTACGCACCAGCCCCTTCTCACTCTCTTTCTGTCTACCTCTTTTGCAGCCATGTGGCAGCAGCTGCTTGAGAAGCCAACGGCGGCAACGTTGAGCACGTGAGAGCCTTGAAAAAATGTCCGCTTGCATGACAATTGTAGCGTGCAGGCATTCAGACAACGCAGCAGACAGCGCAGTTGAGCGCAGCGTACGTGAAGTGTGTGCCAAGAACTTGGGCCAAGAGCAGAAACAGCAGCAGCAGCAGGAGCTGCAGACGTGGCAAGGACACTAACCCACATGCAGCATAGAGCACAGGGCTTAGCACCTGCAGCGGTGTGCAGACAGAAGAGCAACGCACGGAATAACTAAGTGAGTACACAAAGGTATACCAAAAATTCCCAAACCCAAAGATAACAGACAGGCCAAGACATGTTGAGTTCGGCTATGAAAGGACATCAAGTGCATTACTCAGGATAACAGCTGAGAAATGTTGAAACCTAAGATGCAAGAGACCAAGTGCATGAGAAAATGTAACAAGAAAAATTTTTAAGCAGCTTAGAAACGGGACGAAAATAATTGAAAATAAAATTGTTAAGACTTTGAAGACCAATGGATAAAATTTTAAATGAGAATGCAAAATATAAAAGATCGAGACGAAAGGAAAAACAAATTATTCTCGAATCAGGAAAAATATATAAATAATATTAAGTATGAAATTCAGAATATAATAGAGAATTTAGAATTTAAACAAATTTAAAAAAGTTCAAATCTGATCTACATTATAAAAGGTATTTACATATTTAGTATATAGTCGCTTCAATGTAATATGCCTGTTAAGATAAAAGTACCAGCTTTTTTAACATACTTCGTAGAAGTGTTCTGTCAGTTCCGTTTAAAAGGAACCGCTTTATAATACAGAAACTTTAAAGCTACCCCAAGCTGCACTTGCTTCAAACCAAAACTCTTACCTCAAAAATTTGTTCGATTGACCCAATGCCATCCACTCGACAAGCCCTGAATGTTGTTAGCTATGCTTAAGGCGCTGCCTTCCCCACCTGCAGCTGCATAGGCTTCATTCATCTGCTGCTGGGCGACTGCCTGACATATCTGGCATATGCAAAATGCCAACTGTATGTCATTGTTGTCGTTGCTGAGGACGACAACAACAAGGGCAAGGACACTAGAGCGAGTGCAAACAAGGTGCTGCACAAAAATAGAAATAAAAGTAAAAATGGAAAGAAGAAAAAAGCGAAAGGCATAACGCATGCTGCAAGAAAGAGAAGAAGCAAAGACAACGCCGCCAGCAAGTGAGCTGATTGGGGCTTGTGTAAAGAGCTACTTCTATGAGGACTTCCAAATGGCATTGCATACTCTTTTGGGGCGGGGGGAAAAAAAGGAGGTCATGCCCAACAAGCTCCAGGCACACTTTGCATAGATCTAAAAGAGCAAAGACGAGATGGAAAATGCTCTCTACAATTTGCACAGCTCAAATTCTTAAAAAGAATATTAAATTTTGTATAGAGCAAATATTTAAGGGACGCAGGAAATGGATTAAGAAATTTAATATTTTTTGGTAGGCTTCGAAAATTAAAATATTTTAAAAACCTTAGAATAGCCAAAAAGTGCTGCTAGGTAATTTAAGACAACAACATTTTTGTAATATGAAAACTAAGAAAAATCTATATAAAAATATGTTTTTATATTTTAAGTTGAAAACTTTTGAAATTGAAATATGCCAGCGCTTGTATGGGCTAATAAGAATAAAAACGAGAAGAAAGGGCTATCTTCGGCACGCCGAAGATTGAATACCCTTGCAGACCCAACCTTTTCATAATTCTCATAGTGCCTTGCCCGTATCTAAGAAGCACAGGGAAAATAGTTAATGACAGTTAATTAACCTACTTTTCGACCGATCTTTCCTTTGGCAGCTATATGATATAGTTGTCCGATCCAGCTGGTTTTGACATATGAACTGCGTGCAACAGAAAGAGGGACTTCTGCAAAGTTTCATAAAGATAGCTTTAAAACTGAGAGACTAGTTCGCATAGATACAGACAGGCGGACAGGCGGACAGGCGGACATGGCTTTATCAACTCGGCTATTGATACTGATCAAAAATATATATACTTTATGGGGTCGGAGATGTCTCCTTCTATCCTTTATAACTTAACTGTGTCTCATTCAAAAGTTAGATTATCGATATTAATGATCATTACCTCTATATATTAACGCACTTTAATTACAAGAACTGAGGTTATAGATTGCTTATAGATTGGTTGGCGCTCTGAGAGCATGGTCTAGACTTTCCATTATGCATTTGTTATTGTGACTGGCATATGTTCCTGTTCGATTGATTTTATAAATGTTGATAGCAGCTATTTATGCGTAATGCAGCTATGGGAGAGCAAACTACAGACTTTCGCACTGACAAAAGCAGAGCACTTTTTATGCTTTAAATATTAAATATTGTATATATTAAATAAATAAATATGCCCAGGCTGACCTATTAATAATGGTTATGTGTGCATCTCTGCTCTTTTCAGTTCGCTGCAGCAGCCATTGAAACGAAATAAAAATAAACAATAATTCGAGCGAAAGTCCTTACAAAATAAAAAAACAACAAGAAGCAAGCGGTTAAAACAGTAAAACAAGAAATAAGGTCACGCCACAAACAGTGCTGTTGCGGTCAATTATACGACAACAGCAACAGACAGCAGCAGCAGCAACAACAAGTACTTTAACGACAGCAACAACATTGCAACAACGCCATTTTGACCAATATTAATAATGGTAATGTTGCTGCAATTGAAGCGACAACTGCCGCCAGCAGCAGCTGCAACAACACTCTCCAGAGCAAGAAGAAAACCATGTGGCAACACAACTGACACTCGGCTGTTGCTGCTTATGTTGCTGTTGTGCTGTGAATGCCGCAGCAGCAGCAGCGCTGGCATCAGCTACAGCAATAGCTCGGCCAATCGCAGCGTGGCGAGCGGCAACAGCGGCGGCCTCGTATTGATCGGCTCCAGCACCGCCACAGGCAGCACTGGCGCCACTACGAATACGGCCACAGCCAGCGCGGTGCCCTCATTATCGCTCACTTCATCATCCTCGGCCGCCTCATCCTATGCCACATCGACTAGCAGCAGCAGCAGCGCTAGCAGTGGCACCGGCACCGGCAGTGGCAACGGCATTGGCAGCAGCGGTGGCAGCAGTTCATCATCGGCCACGGCGAGCAGCAACCGCAGCAGTCGACTAACTAGCAGCAGCAGCAGCAGCGGCTCCAGCAACAGCAACAACAACAACAATAACAACATAAACCATGATCAATTACCCGCACAGCTCTCATCGCGCATCATTCACACACGCAATGGCGCCATCTCGGGCGTAATTGTCCAATTAGATGGGCGGCATTTGGATCCGGTTGAGGCGTATCGCGGCATACCCTACGCCTCGCCGCCCGTTGGCAATTTACGTTTTATGCCGCCCGTCTCAGCGGCCATGTGGTCGGGCGTCAAAAAGGCGGACAGGTAAGTCAAACCCAGCAGCTCCAACAGTTCCTACATTTTAAGTGGCGCTCTCCTTGGTTCGCCCTAAGTTGGTGTGTGTTAGCGGATGTATGTGTGTGTGTCCTGTCCAAGGCAACCGTCTTTAGAAAGTTTTACGCATAAATTTCAAGTTGCCGGATGTGTGTGTGTGTGTGTGAGTGTAAAGTTTATGAGTTGACGCGCTTTTATGTTAATCATACGACCCGTGCGACGGCTAAGCAACTACTTTGGAGTAAACTAGCTAACTGAGACGTGGACTACACAGCCCAATTGGGATTAGGCATAAATTTGACTAAATAAGGTTTTAAATAGGGGCTCGTTACGTTAAACCGGTTCGGGACTGCTTTAAAACTCCTTAAAGACTGTTTGAAGACGGTGTGAAAATATATACAAATATTTTTAGTCCAAAGGGTTTTTGAAGTAAGTTTAAAACTGATTTAAATTTGATTAATAATTGGTGGATTTAAGACGAAAACAAATCTGCTTGATAACTGGCCAAAAGTCTCTCAAAACTGGACTGACACTGAATTATTACTTTTTCGACTATCCTTAAAATCGTTTCAATTCGAATTTAAGACCATCTCAAATTTGTTTGCACGCAGACATGAATATTTGGTACAAAACGGATGGCTTAAAATGCCTTTAGACTGGTTAAAAACTTGTGAGAAAATTGTTTAAAACTGACTTAAAACTAGCACAATGCATGTTTGAAGCCCATCGAAATGCTACTCAAATAATTTTCAACTGGAGTTCTGCTTAAACAAAGGCTATATATCAGGCTAGCTACCAAATAAAGTAATTACTGATAGCCTCGAACAAACCGAATACCCTACTTAAGCTCCTCTTAAGCGAGATTGCAGTACTTTCTTCTGTTTGCTGACTTACCCCTTGAGAGGGTCATAGGAATTGAGACCTTTTTAAAATCTAAATAAAAATCTGTCATTTAGCTGCTGTTATTCGCGCAATCAAAAATTCTATTTCTAGCTGCTCGGACAAACCCTCGTCTAACTAATTTGATGTTGCCTGAAACGAGAAACGAAACCCCAATGCAAATGCGCTGTCAATTTAAATGCGTTAAATCATTTCTCAGTTACTTGAGCCCGGCTGGGCTGGGCTGTCTGCTGCCGCCGGCGGCGCTGAAGAGGGTGCAATTTGAGGCACGTTGTCGCGTGTACCCGAAAGTACATAAAATGATCAAAATGCCATAACTCAAGGGGCGGCCACTCGAGAGGGTCGAGAGCGCAGCCGTTGCCCGGCAATTGTCACCTCAATTAACTTGGCTCATTATTGTCGAGTGCGCTGCCAGAGCCCCAAAATACGAAAGTACTAACAAAAAAAAGCAAACGAAATACTGCAGACTTGCAATAATAATGATAATACGCGTTGTAAGTCAAAGGTCAGCTGTCTCGCTGGGGCCTTCCGCTTGAAATGCCAAACAAATTAAATATTTACGCTGCCGCCAGCCAGCGTCAGCTGCGACACTCGAGCAGCAATGGCAACAACAACAACCATAACGACAACAGCAACAGCAATAACAAGTCGAGGCATCTAATTTACAAACGCTCCCAAGTGGCAAATCATTATTCACAAAGATTCCCGGGACACCGTTGTCCTGCAGCCGCATTGTTTGCTTACCGAAAGGGTGCCGGCCCAAAGGTTTTTCCCTTTTCGCTTCCTTTTTTTAAGCTACACCCTAACAAGGGGTATTCGAACCATGAGTAAATAAAATTCAAAATATATTACTCTCTCTACACCTCACAGCATATTATTATATCTTTCTTGTGTCATTCAAGAAACACATGATATAGGTAAGAAAAATACATAAATATAAATGAAAAATTAAGCTATGTTCAGAAAAATAAACCTGTTTTGTTTCGTTCTAGAGTTGATTTCAATTCTTATCATTTTTTATTATTTTATCATAAGTAGAAATTAATCTAATTGTTTTTGGTTAACCATTGATGGAACATTGTAAATGTACTCAATGAATATTTACGATAGGGTATTGAAACTATACTAGCCCTTCTTTGAGTTTGCAGTTTTTTCATAATTCCCTGCTGGTATTTGCTTCTTTTTTTGCTGGCTAATGGAAAAGGGGACACATGTAAAAAAGGAGGCTTAAAATCAGCGCTCCGCAAATAAATATAATATAATTTTTCAAAAATACTGTTGGGCCAAATTTGATGAATGTCGTTGCCCCCAAAAACGAGCTGTGCGGCACCTGCTGCTGCTGAGCCACGAAATTTTCGGCTGACATCATCGCAATCGCAATTGTCAGGCTAACAGAGATTTGTCTGACTGTGTCTGCTCCGTTTGGAAGCTCTTCGTCGCCATCTTTTGCTGAAGTGGAGCGCGAGACGTCTTTATTTGTCAAGCCGCCCGGCTGTGGGCCTGTTGACAGCTTCAGGCTGGCAGGCCAATAAACTGCTTGAGTAATGTTCCACAGATTTTTCAGCACGTCAGCGTAATAAAGCTGTTCGGACCATCAACGGACTAAGAAACAGACGCGCCGACAGTCGGACAGAGAATCAGACACTGTCAGCCAGACATTCAGACTCAAGGTACAAAAGATCATTAGCCGGCTTTGCAGCCAAATGCGAAAATGGATACGTTTCGGCGCATTTTGTGGTCCAAGCCTCCAGCAATTGCCATCGACGGTACTTAAATGTTATTAGCGTTGGGTAAAATACGAAATAAATTGATAGGCAAATGGTTTTCCAGAGTAAAATAACATGTTTATTTCATTTTAAGGACGCCCTTAAAAAATGTATTCAGGCAAACATTGCGAACAACAAGAGTTAAGATGCCCAATGCTTGGGGCTTAATTCGAGTCTTTCTTATAAAACTAAAATTGTTTGCAGAAGACAAGCTACAAAGCAAGAGGAATGGAAATTCGGCAAGGTTTTGATATCACTCTCTTAAGCTAAGGAGACTAATAAAGACCTGGACCATAATTCAAGTAAAAAGGAATCGTAGCTATTTGTTTCGAGCATTTTATTTACAATCTGTTAAACGTTAAGCAAAAGATATATTTTATAAGGGAAAAGCAAGGGTATAATAGGTTTTTACTGGGAACAATCAGAAGGGAAAGAACAGGGAGGGGCTATTCTCTAAAAGAATAATGAGCCTCTCGAAGTATCTTTTCTTCCACTGTGACAGTTGATATTAGTAAGTCGCTATATAACACTTTATTCTATACCCAGAAGCAATCCATAAAATTCGGTATAACTCTATGAAAATCTCCAATATTAAACTAATCTAAATCTAATCTAAATTATTAATAAACAACATGCATATTGTTGACTTAGTATCTTATTGTTGCTGGGCATACAAATTCGAAGTCCTGCTCAAAATTCCCATTTAAGGAGTCGCAGCTTGTCGCTCGTCATTTTTCGCAAGCAAACATGTGCGCAAATTAGAATCTCCGTGGAAAACAAACAATTTATAGTTTTCGCAGCGGAGCAAAGAGCAAAAAAAAATAAAAAAAAACATGCCATGCATATAAATCACGCGGCCTGAGGCACACAGGTCACAGGACAGCACGCACAGGACATACTGTAGACGCCCCGGACACATGCAATTTGGCATTCCGGCTGGCCGCAAAAGTGGGCGGCGGGTTGGGGTCATGGTCCGCATAATCTGCATATGGACAGGTGGCAAAAGACCAAGAGAGGCGGTGCGGCAGCTGAAGCTGGGTGACACGCACTGTGGCAAGCTGAACAACAGCCGTGCAGAAGTCAGCGACAGACAGACAGACAGGCGGACAGACAGACAGACAGGCAGGACGGTCGGCAGAAGAACAGGAAGGACTCTGGCAAAGCACTCGGAGCAGTTGCCCTGCCTTCGCTTAAATACATCAAACAGAAGCATAATCTCAGCCAAGCGGAAAAATGCATGCGCCAGAGACAAGTTAAGATATTTATATAGATAGAGCTAGATGGAGTTGACGGAAGAAGGGTGTCGGGTAGGAGAGGGGAGGGGGGGGGGGGGGGGGGACAATACCGAAAATGATATGCGACATTGCGGCCACGTCAAGCAAAATAGATTAATTTTACCTGCGGGCAACGGACCAGAAGTCTCGCCCTCGTCCTCGTCGTCGTCGCCAGCCCGCCAGCCAGCCAGCCAGCCAGCCAGCTACCTGTTCACAAATTAGATTGGCAGCCCAGCCACCGTCTACCCAGTAAAGCACCACACCCTCCCTTCCCCCGGCATCCGGCTGCTCACGCATAAAGCTTTGCTGCCGCAGTCAAATTAAATAAAATCCAATTTAAAATGAATTTTCGCAATTTCATTTACAGGGCAAAATCAACAACAACAAACACAGGCGAACCACTCTGGGCAAGAGCAATTTATGCAACAGCACCACCGTGGTGGTGCCACACACACACACACACACACACACAGTTACCCCTTGTGTCACCCACCCCTCTCCCCTTTGCGCTGACTTGCGCTCCGCACTTGAGACTCAAATTGGAATTAACGTTTTTAATGATGGGCACAAATTTATATTCTCTCTCTTTTTTTTTTTAATAATTTTTACTCTATCCCTCTCGCTTGCTCGCTGCGAGGCCACAAAATGCTTGCACCACTGACAGCCTTCAAGTGGAGCACTCATTAAGGTGCTTTTTATTAGGAATACCGCAAGCTTGAGTTTTTCGCAAGCTGAATTTTCTCAACGTTTGTTTTTATTAAAAACGCCCAAGCGTCATGCATAAAACTCTCGCATTTTACTGCAATTTATTACATTTTACCTGGAGGGGGGGTGGGGGGGTGTTGCTAACAGGTAGCCTGGACGCAGGGCGCAGGCAGCAGGACGCAGCCTGTCGCTGCTAATCCGCTTGTATTTCATAATCCTGGCGCTAAAAGCAAAAGCTTCATGACGTCCAAAGTGCAAAGTGGTTGTAAAATATATTTTCAAGCAACAACAACAACTTCAATTGGGCTCTGCTGCTGTATAAAGGGCGTTAGTGGGGGATGGGCGAGGTAGCCAGCCGTTGGGGCAGCCTGTGTGGTCGTGACACACGCGTGACTTGTCAAAGCATCAGCTCTACCTGTAGGCTATAGTTCGTTGCATTAACTGCGAATAAACATATATAGTAATGTTCAACTCAATCAACTCCTGACAATCAGATTAAAGTTAAGGAATTCCGCTCGTTAGAACTCGCTCTTTATGATTGCAATTACTTCTTGCCGTTGATATATATGTGCATAAATTAAATATTAATAGTTTAATTATCTTTTTTTTAAGTTTTAAAGTTTAATTGAAAAAAGCACATATGTATATACTTAGATTACTTAGATTACCTTTAGTATGCACCAGCTTAAGTATTGGAGGATTGTGAAATTTAATACAATTTCTTTTAAAAATATAGTTTGCTGAAATTATATGCATATATATATTTATATATGTAGTATTTCAAGGACTCTTAAAGCGGGGTATTTGTACAAAAAGAAGCACATTAAATATTATATCGATCCTTTTTAATGTTTAATCAACAAAATGTTGGCAGGTTCAGAATGGCTTTTTTGGTATATCCTCCATACCATGCTCTCTCCAAAATCAGATCAAGTTTAGCCAACTATCCTGGCACCTCCTTTATTGTTTGTAGCATAATGTGCTTCAGTTTTTGAATAGTGCTCCCCCTGACCTCCTCACAATAAACACTTTTCTAACCTGTCTATTTGATAATTGCACAACAAAAATAAACCCTTATCTATTAAACCTTTAATCGAATGACAACGCTTTTGGCGGACGTAGTTTGTTTGACACAAGCTCTCATAAGCGTATTAAAAACTTTACAGAGTTGTCAACTCACATTCCGTACCTATCTCCATTGCAGTAAAAATCTGCAATAGCGAAGCACTAGCCACGCCCCTTTCGCTAGCTTCCTAACTGGCGTGACCTCAATTGCCCCGCCCATTTTATTAGGTTAATTCCCATTACTCTTGCGCCGAGAGCCAGCTTATCAGCGCATCTCCAAGCGCTGGCGGGGACGCCGCAAGCGACTGGGCATGGGGTTGGGGCAGCACACAAAAGTCGCATAAACAAGATCGCTGCCACTTGAAAACTGAGCAGCAGTTGCACGGGTTGTGCACGGGCTGGCAGCATTAAAAATTCAAAATGTGACTTTTACGAGCTTGTAGCTGGTGCCGAGAGTTGTACAGTATTGAATGGGCGGGCTGGCTGGTACTGGGTCGACGGGGAGGGGCGTGTCACCTGACGTCAGAAATGTGTTCGGCAGCGGATAAGTGGAAAAGCGAAAGAAAACAACAACAACAACCAGAACTCTCAACTGGCGCCATTCAAACTTTTCACTTTCATTATTTTTAATATTTTGGATGTCCTTTAGCTGCGGCCAGGGCAGTCGCCCGGTTGCAACTTCTTTTGGCCATTTTGGCGGGCAACGGCGAAATGAAGCCGAAAATTAAACTTTTATTACCTGCCTTATTGTTTAACCATAAAATTAATGATTATTATGGCAATCGCGCGGCAACCACAAGCGTCCATTAAAATGCTGGGGTCAAGGGGTCACGGTTTCCCATCATGGCCATTTTGCCATTTCGCTGAGGCGTTTCAAATATAATAAAAAAAAAAATTAAACATACTCCCGCAGCACAATAAAAATAACCCAAAAGAGGCCAAAAAAAAGTTGCACGAAATTAAATAAAATAAATTCTCATTTCGCAATGTCATTAATGTTAATGCTTTTTCATGGGTTCGGGTTTGCCATTAAGGACCCTCGACTCACATAGATATACCCGAAAAGGAAATTTTTAATGCCTCCATTGATTTTCGCTTTATGACAATTTGATGTGCCCCAAAAGAAGCGCAACTTGATGAGTTAGACGGGTTTGCAAAAATGAGAACGGAAACAGATTACTTAAATAGTAAGGCATTGCAAAGGGGTTGCAGAGGAGTAGTTGGGTGTAGGGGAAAGTACAGATACTATGTGAATTTCATAAAACGCAACACAGCTAAACGTAATACGATGAGCAGCAATATTTAAAACAAATGTTAAAGCAGAGTTCAATGTTATACATTTAATTTACTTAATTTATTGTATTATAACAAAAAACGTTTTTCAAAATTACTTTTCTTTTTATTTTCTGTTAATAACATGAAAAACCATAGCATTAACATAACCGAGCAAGTGTGTGTCAACAGAAAACGTAAAATTAACATAATTGTTAACAGAGTTATGTTAACAAGCAGATTTCAGCTGATTTAAGTACTAATAATATATTATATAACAATTTTGAAAACTAATCAAAGAAATCTTTTACGTTGTGACTTTTTGAAAACTGAAAAACAAAGTCCAAGTATTAAAGAAAATGTAACGCAAAAAAATTAAGGCTGACAAATTTGCCGTTTGATTAAGCAAAAGATTCACAATTCTCGGCCACAATTTTAAGCCTACAACGGACATTTTTGAGTTAAACACTTTGCAAATTGCAATTTGTTTGGGTGTCAAACACTAGCAACTCTCTTGGCTCGTTTGGGGCTTAGAGCTACTTAGTTTGATGCCTGTCACACGGCAGATTGAAAACAAATAAAACTACGAATTTGCAGAGAGTTCAAGGCAAATACTAACAGTGTGTAGGGGTATGGAGGGGGGTGGCACAAGGCGCAGCCAGTGCCAGTCATAAATGAGCACAAGGCCAAAATGGCAAGTGGAAAACGCAAACGTTGATGTTGCCATTTGCATGACATGGCCAAAAACAGCAAAGAAATGCACTAAATGTTGGTATTCGAGTAGACAAAGCGGGTGAGAGAAGAGATGGGAGTTGGGAGCAAAATCGAAAACCAATTTCGCAAACTGGCAAAATAAGCTTCTGGCCAATATGGCCCAAAAAATAAATGCAAGCGCCAAAAACTTTGTCGGCTCAAATCAAAAAGTTATTATGGCCTAAAGACAGAAATTGTAACGCGGCGGCAAAGATTACAAAATGCTAGCAAATTAATCTGTTTATAACGACGACTGGGAACGCCTCGCATAACAAATAAACCGCCTTCGCAACCTTTTAAAAAACGAGCAAAAAATAAAAATAAAATCTGTCACGAAAAAAAAAAACTTTTGCATTTAACCCCGCATATTTTTCATCCCATTTATGCTTTACTTGCAGATTCAGCCCAGTCTGTCCGCAACGCCTGCCGGACATACACAATGAAACCGCGGCGATGGAGCGCATGCCCAAGGGTCGCTTGGAGTATCTGAAGCGTTTGCTGCCCTATCTGCAAAATCAATCAGAGGATTGTCTTTATCTAAATATTTATGTGCCCATACAAGGTGAGTGCGCGTGCGAGCGAGAGGCCAAGCCTCGGCTAAGTATGCTATCACTTGTTTTTTTTTTGTTTTTTTGTTGCTGAGCCTAAAACCAAGAAAAATGACGCACATGCTATGGGAAAGTTTCCTCGACCCCCCCTACAATGCCCTGCTGGCCTAGGCATTTTTCAGTCTTGTTTATTTAGCACTTTGTGAGGCATTTGAATAAATTGGCAAGCGGTAAGCGGCACGAAAATGGTTTGGGTAACTTGTTTCAATTTTTCTTCGGCTATGCCCCGCACCAGGCGCTCCCCACTAATCCCAAAGGCCAGCGGCGAGCATGTCAGAAAAGGGTCAGCTTTCCCCAAGTTTTCGGTTTTCCATCTTCTTCTTTTTTTTTGCACGTACATTTTCTGCTTGGCTCTTTGGTTTGCTCCTTCCTATCCATATCGCGCAAATGGACAAATGTTTCCACATTTTTCAAACGCCAAAGAATTTGCTAAGCTGTTGGGCAGGCAAAAAAAAAAAAAAAAACAGAAAACAGCCGCACAAAATGTTAAGGAACCAACACAAAGTGGCCAAATTTATGCAAAAACGTATAGTCCCATTGTCAGTCCGTCTGTCTGTCTGTCCCTGTGGACATTTCATCCATTTACGCGTCTGCCAGCTGATTATCTTTTATTTTCTTTTTGCTTTATGACAACAGTGGATTGAAGAGTGGATTTTTTAAATCAATGCGATATAGGAATGCACATAGCTATTGTATTTCGTATTTCATTAATATGTGCCTGTATATATTTTTATTGGGCACTAAAATTCGTATTTTAAATAAATTCAATCCATAAATCATATTCAACTTGTAAGTAAAACATAGGAAAGAATTCATTCATGTTAGGTTTCTTCTGTTGTGCAAAATGTTAACTCCCATCCTCTGTTATATCTAGCCCTTGGCTACAGTATCTAAATTATGCTCGGTTATACTAGTTCACATATTATGTTAAGTCTTTAAAGTATATTCAACATAGATGCTAACTGTGTTCTGTTATGTCTGATGTCTCATGTTTTATGTTATATCTAAGTCTTGGAAACTGTATGTTAATTTTGCTCTGTTATCTCTAATGCCTTTTACACTTAATGTTAGGTCTTATGTTATGCACGAGTTTTTCTTGTATATATATTATTTATTCTTTTAATTAAATATGAAAAAACGATCTGCTCTTAAACCTTTCGCCACTGTGTATTAATAATTTCTTTATGAAGTACATTTCATCAATGATTTAAGAAGCGCTTCAGCGCTTGAAAATTAATTAGCGACAGGAGAGTGAATTTTGCAGTGAACGTATTAGACTAGTGTCACGACCATGTCAAGTGGCAGCAGTCCGTCATAAACGAAACCAATTTGCCAAACAGGCAGCAATTAGATTATAGAAACCAAAACGGAAACAATTTTGGAGGTACCTTTAACTAACTTGACAGGGCTATAAAAGAACCTTCTGCCAGTTGCCTAGACTCAACGTCAGTCAATCATTTGGTGCATCTGGCTAAGAGCTGCAATCGCCGGCTTTCGACATGGTCGTTAATTACATTTTGATTAAAGCGTAAAGGGAGGGCAAAAGGAGAAAAAAAAAACAAACAAGTCGGAGCACTGAGCAGCAGACTTAATGGAAGCTATCAGCGGCAGTTGCGGCAAGGCACCTGCTTCGCCGAACTCGTTGATATGGGAGTGGAAAAGCTTGTTAGGGAGACAGACGGAGTGCCGGGAAATTCAATTGTCTAACAGCGCACTTAAAGTAAAATTTAATACACAATTCAGCAGTAAGGGAAATGTCTTCACTAGCTGACAAGACTTCAGCCACAGCGCGTCAGGCACTTCACGGCCGCTCGTGTAGTCCATCAGGCCACCAGTCCATCAGGCCACCAGTCAGTCAGCCAGTCAGCCAGTCAGTCAGTCAGTCAATCAAGCTGGCAGTCAGCTATACGCAATTTGCAGGCGCCTTGATTTTGATGGCTGGCAGCATTGCAATCAACTAAGAAATCAATTAGCAGCCATGCGCTTTAGCCAACGCCTTTAAAGGCGTATACTTATATATTTTCTGTATTTAAGTATTTCCACAAACTCGCTTTATTGGCGTTCACATTTACTTGTGTTTGCTTAAGACAAATTGAATGAGCTTAAGTACATACACAAAGTATCCAGTCTGCTGAGCCCTAATAAATTGTTATACAACATTTGATACATTAAATATCATAAAAATACCCAAACATAAGATAAGCCTTAATATAATTCGTGGAAATTCGTCTGTCAATGTTGGCAATTTCATTCAGCTCGAAATATTAAATTAGATTTTGATTACACGCAGAAAATCAACCAATTATCAACTTAATACGCAAACTGAACAAGTTAAATTTGTAAGAAATGGGTATATATTTATAATACGCGACAAGAAAACGTCCAATTAAACGCTTTTTACGGCAGGTCAAAAGGTAAAAAATAAAAATGAAAAGTGTTTGGAAAGGGCAAAAGATGACAAAGAAAATGTCGACGCACGATTTGAGCTGAGCATGAAAAATGTAGAAAATCCTATGTATATATACACCTGAAAATCGTTGAAGTATGGCAAAAATTTACATTCGGCTGTAATTTGTCTTCGATGCCAGACATTTATATGTATATGTAGCAAAAGGTACGTTAAACGCAGAGCGGCCGGGCCGTGCTCTGACGAGTTGTCTCGTCGCTGAATTGCTAGAATTTATGAGAAATTATGATAAATTGTTCAATGACTGTCGAGCCTGTCCCGAGGCAGACGAAGGGTTCAAATTGGTTTTGGTTTTTCTTACGTTTATTTTTCTTTTCAATGCGTGCTTCAAGGACAGCTTATTTAGCCTTGGGCGTTGTGCCCGGCAACTAAGTGGGAAAATTAAATATTTGGCTGGACAATTACATCAAGAGAGACTATTAAAATGTTCTAATACACACAAACTGATTTGAATCTCTAAAGGCTTTCCAAATAACTTGACTACGGCGAAAGGGTCAATGTCAATGTCAATGCCAAGTGGCCATCTTTCAGACGCCGTTATCAGCTCTAAAGATTATAAATCCTAACACAGCAGCCAATTTATAAAATTTTGACAGTTTAAGGCCATTTGCCGCCGCAACAAAGCCAATACACTTAATGAGCCTGAGTGGGAGTCGTTGGCGTGGGCGCGGCTCTCCGGCTCGGGGGTTACCTTTAGTCAGGCGCAAATAAATCATTATTTATTTGGCTGTCATGTCAAAATGAATTGCCAGATAAATTTACAAAAGGAAAATAACAAGTAGACAAGTCCAAATCAAGAAAGGAAAAGAAAAGTAAAAGAAAAAAAAAAAAAAACTCTCGCCTAATGTCAAAATTAATGAAACTTTTGGCAGACAACGGTTGGCTATAGGCTTACACTTTATACACAAATATGCTATGCAAAGTGAAAGTATGCTTTAACAGCGCACACATGAACACACCAAACACACACAGACACACGCACGCATCAAGTTCTTAATAAATCGCCTGCGCCTTTTATGTAGCATACTTTTGCGGGCTGAGCACTCGTCCCGGGCCGAGGCTTCAGTCTGGTATATGCAGCTAGTTTAATCTACTCGGACATGACAATAAAATTTATATCATCTTTCCTTTTCGCCTGCTTAGTGAAGTCCTTTCTCGCCTCTGTGGCTTTTATTTGCCTCTTGCCTCTTGCCGTTTGCCACCGCTTTCTCATTTTATTTTATTCGCTGGCCCTTTTTATGGTCCTGTTGTTGGCATTTCTTTTTTTTTTTAAATCTTGAGCTTGTTCGCGCTGCCGGCTCAAAATAAAAATAAATAAATAAAGCATAATAATAATAAAAAGCAGAAAATGCCACATTAAGCATGATTTGCCGCTTTTCAAGCCAGAAGTCCGCTGGGCTGGCCAATAACAGGCGAGAGTCTGTTCGAGTCCTTTGGGGTCTTTGCATTTGGTCAGTCCGCTCAGCCCTCTTCGCAATCGTCCTCCGCCTTTGTGCTTGTTCGTGTTCAGATTTCAAGTTTATCAGCTGTTTGCATTTTGCTCATATTTTGCGCCTAACTGACTTTTGGCCAGGCCAAAATAAATGAGCTGCCATTGTGCAGCATTCGGAGAGATTAATGTATTGTCATAATTTCTAATCTACAGCATTTCCATGCGATTAACATCTGTTGGCATCACTTAATGGCGCATTATGAAAAGGCATTGCGGCCATTGACCAAACGCCGCCCCATTCAGATTTATATCCCAGCGAGTTACATACGTGACCTTTGCGCCTTCAAGGCAATTGCAACATTTCGCCACAAGTACGCCCCCGGAAAAGAAAAATACATATGTGAAAGATATAATGCAATTCTGTCAGCTCAACAGGCCCGCCCCCTTACAATCGCCCATATAAATCAATAAGCCAATCAAGTGCTCGCAATCAGTAAAGTTTCGGCGCGTGCCCAAAATAAAGCAAACAAATATTCATCATACGCACTGTGCGCCGCATTAAATTGTTATACGCGAACAGCATGTGCCAAATATGTCTTGCTTATGGGCTGAACAATAAAAAGTTGAAGCCAAGAGTTCGAGACATTGTATGTGTGGTGGTAGCACACAGAAACAGTATTGGATAAGATTTCAATGTCCTATCGATAGTTATCGACACGTTTTAAGAGTTCCTGTAGGAGTGAGTTATCGATAGAAAGTAAAGCTGCATTGGCTTAGCGATAGTTTTAGACACATTCTAGGAGTGCATATTAAAGCTTCTACGAGAGTCCAAGAATCTATTCGAAATTTGTCGCAGTTGTCTCAAGTCTCAATATGAGATGTTATAATTTATCGATAACTATCGACGTGCTATTAAAGTGCATGTTGAAGCCATTAAGATATTCCTTTGGAGATTGTTAGAAAGACTTTTGTAAATATTTTTGAACATATTCCATAATATACTATACCTATATTCCGATGCAGTTGCTTGTTAGCTCACCTAACCCAATCTATCC